TTTGCGGCGTGCTTGTTAGCGTAGTGCGAAAAGCAGATATTCGGTTATCTGTCTAACCTCGTGTACTCATGCTGACCGCGTTTATGTGTGCTGGGCTTGGCTCCTAACGTGTGCGTTCGTTGTGAGCCCCCGTTTAGCCGAAGCTCGGTCGAACAGTCCGCGGGTGAAATGACAGCGTAAAGCGCCCGAAAAAGCGGTGGTGTCCCGTGATCGTCGGAAGACCGGACGCCGGCGCGACGTCGAAGTGTGTTGTCCAGCAGCCCGTTGTTGCCGACTAGGGGGGCGGTGTTCTACCCTTGCGCACACATGCGCCGCCGGGACTCGGCCTCCGAAAGTGCTCGGGGGCGTTGATGTGGGCACGTGCTTCTTCTCGCTAGACTCGAGCAACCTGCATGACCATGACGGCCGATGCTATGATTCAAAACCAGGACGTGGCCTGCTACCTTGTCACGAAGTTGTCATGGAAGGGAAAGTGAGTACTAAGCGCGTTGCTATCGCTTGCATTCCACTCAACGGTCACTCTCGTTGTTCGCTTTATCGTTGTAGGCGCGAAGTTGCAGCCGGCGAACGGCATGTTTGCAGCGCCGAACGGTGGTTCTGGATTGTCGGCATAAGTAGCGTTGCACCCCCCCCCCCTCCCTACTCTGCGCTGCACATTGAATCCGGCGTCCGCATAGGGTGGTGTGATTGAGCAACAGGCGTACTCGGTCAGCTGACGGGCTGGCTGCTCGTCGTTTTCGCCGTGCAGTATGCCGTGTACACACTTGCTGTATACGTGTGTCAGTCACTGCGCTCGACACAATAGCGCGTGTAGGAGTGGTGACGAAAGGTGTGCGTACAGTTGTGCATTCGGAGCTTGGACTGGGGCTAGCAGAGTGACGAAACAGATTAAACACAGCGTGCATCGTTGTGGAGCCTTGCCACGTCTTCATTTTCTTTTGTACGCTGGTTTTGCCCAGTCATGTCAAAGTTCTTGACCCAGTTTTTGTATTTTGCGGTATACGTTTCAATGAAACCACCCTGAAAAACGGCTTCGGGGAAAGCGATTGCATGTGTCATTCATTAACATGTAGTTTTAATTCATATGAAAAAGTAAATGAATCTTAAACTATATTGTTTCGGAATGATGGCTTTTCAAACTGCCTAGATGAGCGGTGCTCACAGGTCTTTCTAAGGTTCCATTCATCTTGACAACAGTTAAACAAAACAAAGAACATGCAATACGAGCTATGTTCTGTGCAGTTCTTTCTTGCTGTCTCTTTTTTTTTTGTCTGTGTGCTGTTGTATGTTAATATGGAGCATTACCAATTAGCCAAAACCACGATTTTGTTACCATTCATCTCAGTAAGATGCGTCACACTACATATGATGCATGGTTTCAGAACTGCACTATGGTGTCTGGCTCGTATTTTTTATTCAACATCAGCACATGACACGTCAACCTGCCAACTTGGTTGCTCCTCTGATATTCAATATCTTAAGTGAACATCACAGCTTCGATGGATGAAACGGGCAATCCGAGTTGTCTCGAATGGTCCTCAGTCACATGGATACACACCTCACAAGCATTAAAGAAGTATTGCATGCGCAGACTGTGTGACTATAACCATCAAAGTTTATTGCTAATGTGTGTTTAAACACCGAAGAGTCTGCACTTGCAGTATACATAGAGAAAGAGTGAGAAATTTCTAATAGAAGGCAGAGAGGTTGACCTGAGCTAGTTCGCTCTAGCCTGCTACTCTACACAGGGGATTAGGCAAGGGGGAAAAGAAAGAGGGATGAAGGATGACAGTGGGGACAGAAAGAGATGGTAGCCACTTAGCATAGGACCCTACAGCTTAGTATCTATTCCAGTGCAATAACAGTGAAAGTTGGGCTAGTTAGTGGTTCATACTTTGGAAGTAAAAACAGCGCACAAGTATAGACAAGAACAGAGGAAGAGACGACACCGCGCTGTCTGCGTCTCTTCCTCTGTCCTTGTCTTATATTTGTGCGCTGTTTTTACTTCCCAACTATTCCAGTGCTTTTGATGAAGTCTAAAACACATGCAGCCATTGACCTTTATAGAACTAAAGCTGTGACTAATCATTTTCTATCGCCATTTATGCACCTGAAAATTCTATCAACTCTTAAGTTACCACATTTCGGTCTGTTGATTGTTTGCCACCCCATATTATGTCACGGAAGACCGAGCACTGACCACACTTATCAGTGTTTTGTGTACCACTGGGAGTTTGCACCAAGCGGCTAATCTTGTTAAAGCTCCCAGATGCACTTTGCAGCATTGTTTTTGTGATCACAGCTGCTGTGGAGTGTGTTGACAGAGAAGGCTGTGGGAACTATTCGGTATCATTGAATGCCCGACTCTGCTGAGGTACTGGGTAGAAGTGGTAGTGTTGATAGCTATAGTATAGATCAATGAGCATAGCCAGCCAGTAAATACAACTTATAACGATGAGAATTCAAAATTGGTATTCAATAGTTAAGCTGATTAAGTACAAGAGACGGTGGCACTAATAGACAACATGAGTACAAACTGACAATAGAGATTTATTATCAGGAAAACTAAATACCAAGCATAATGCCATTGCTGGAAAAGTTTGTTTATAGCCAGATAAACAATTTCTAATTCATGCAGCAACACAAGCCTTCCGATTCATGTGTCCCTGAACTTGTTAATGACAAATGCTTTGTCAATTTTTCGCATAGTCTTATCTTTGTGCCTCAATAATACCTTTGTGTCCAACGGAACTGCTTCTACTCTTTGGAATACATTGAAAGAATAGAGGAAAGTTCTCTTAAAGGGCCAGTAAACATCCCCAAGGTCTAAAGAATTTATAAAGAGAAATACGTGCACTTTTGCCTTGTCAACATGCTGCCACAAGAATTTTGCGAATATCTGCGATATTAAGGAAGTTACAGGGGTTAGAACATCCGTTTCAGTTGGTTTCAAATTTTTGCGTGGTCTCACCACCCTTCTCCCTCACAGGGAGGGGAAGGCATAGCCCATCATGCAACCTGTCGTCGTGACTCTGCCCACGGGGCAACACTTTTTCACCGGGTGGCTCATGTCAAGGGTGAAGCGCCTGTGTGCAAGCACTGCGATGTCAAAAAAAAGGGGGGGGGGGGCAGTTTGGAAGCTGTGGGGGGGGAACGAGAACTGCAATTGGCTTCACTACTGTTTGTTGAGACCCGGTTTAGACCAGTCAATGAGCTGCGTGCTGCGTCACGTCGCCGATCGCCGAGGTGACATGACTGCACGTGGATGGAGGTTGCTCAGGCGTAGGAAAGATGTGCGGGAATTGTTTTTTTAAATGAAGGCTCTGCGCCACGCGCAGCGCTGTACTATTCAGAAAAGGTGACCGCTGCGGTCGACTCTACGAATTGCCGAGCTTGTTTGGGGGTGTAAAAAAAAGTCTGAGCCTGTTGACTGGCCCTTTAAGGGTAGATGTGATTCGGAAAAGTTGCGTTAATGTGTAGTGTAGGGCAGTGAATTTTTCGTATAGACTTTTAAGTTGATTTCAAATATGCAATTAGTTTTATAGTAAGTTGCACTGTTTCCGTTTCGTACCATGGCAATGTGTAAAGTATAGTTCATTTTGGACAAACTTTTCATGCCACTGGCTAATAGACATTAATGGCTCATATTGCTCCACATTAACAATAGAATGCAAATAACTATCAAGAAAGTATGTATATAGTATTTTGATGGTCAAGAAAAGTTGTGATGTGGGAATTCTTAGGCCCATATTCACAAACCAATCTCAACCTCACCTCGAGTTTTCCTTAACAGTTTTAAGCCTTTATTGCGCTGGATAGATGAAGTAGGGCGAGTGGGCATGAACCATTCTCGTTAATTTTACTCTGTTACATTTTTTGTGTCATAACGAAAGTAAAAAGTACAGGAACTTGAGGGAAACGTGAGGTAAGGCAAAGGTTGGTTTGTGAATACGGGCCTTAGAATCCTCAGCCCATACTAATTGCTTACTTTAGGTTCATAATAATTCAACAGGAAATATCAATTCTAAATGAGATACTTGCACCTTTCACATGGAAAGAAATATGTGGGCGAAATTTCATTCCGATCGAACTATCAGAAGTACCAAAATCATGATGCCCCGACCCAGGAAGTTGCCCAAAAATAGATCTTGAGAAAGCTGAAAACACAAACAGCATGAAAAACAAGAGATTAGACGAAGAAGTAGACATACAGAACGCTCTGTATGCCGAGCTCTGTATGTGTGCTTCTTTGTCTGGTCTCTCATTTTTTGCACTGTTTGTTTTTTGAACTATGTCGTACCAACAAACCCAAACAGCCGCGTCAGCTATCTTGAGAACAACACAATTTAAAGATAAGTAAATGCTCATCTGTGCAGAAAACATGTTTTTTAAGATGTTTACTTAGATCATGAGAGCTTGGTAATCATGGTTATCTTGAGCATGTGACTTAAGTACACTCCTCATGGGAAATGCGATGGCAAGCAGCCATGTGATAATTTACAGAGGACTCCAGACAATGAGCACTTTTTAGTTTTTTTAGTAACCATTTTGTGCTTTCTAAAAGTTTTTTTTTAACCTACTTCGAGTTTATTTATAATCTTCAGTTTTTGTCGTGAAAGTAGAAAAACTAAACTTGTGAAAGCAAAGAAAAATAAGAAATATTTAATTTGGGAAAATTTCTGCCTTTTTCTACTTGCATCTGCCCATAAAAAAGCTTCATGATCCATTTCAATCTGATTCATTTCGTGGTTAGTTACTTAGGCATCTTCCAATCTGACTAATGTACCGCTTTCCTCATGACAGGGTCATTGAATACGCCACCTCTGTCTTCAATGCTCAACCAAATTGTTGCAGAAGTTAATGTTACATTCATTAGAGTGGGCCGAGTCTTTAATCTTTGTGTGCTTCTGCGCAGATGGCGCAAAACTTTTTTCGTCTAAGAGACATCTACGCCAAACCAGCTCCACATTATCTTGAAACAGCGTCGTATAAACCAATACTGCGGACTAGCTGTTTATTTTGACAACAAACCCCAGATGTCTGGACTTGAGTCATCCGTGCTTGCCAGTAGACTTGTCTCTTGCACTCTTTAGCTTAAGTAGGAAATAAGCACTGCAAAAGATGCGACCACACAAAGAAAGCCGAAACACTAATGTTAGTCTCGTCTCTTGTGTGAACATACTTTTGTGCAAAGTTCCTTCAATATTTGTGAAAGTCTGGTCAAAATTTCTAAGCAGAAATACCAGTCGAAGTTATCAATGAAGCATGAAGGCCTTGGGTTTGCTGCCTCTAATAACAGTTGCATTTTTGTGGACATAATGCCCAAACACAGGCTAACAGCAATGCAGTTTTAGAAAACTGCATTGTCGTTTTGTCATGCAGCAGTAGTGTCAGAATGCACAGTATAGTGATTAAAAGCTGTGAAATTTAGCTCAGCTGCGCATTTTCGGAGGTTCAAACGTATTTTCAACACCCCAGAGAGGATTATGCCACACACATGAAGCCTTTGTTGAAAAGGTATGCGGAAGGGAGACACTTGAGTTTACCGATGTGTTCTGTGAACGTCTCAATTTCTTGATATCCCTGGTGGTTGATGTCAGTAACACTGATGCAGCAAGGGCGATTAAGAGGCACCCTCTGGATAGTGATGGGTGTCTATAGTGAGATGTAGGTGTGCAGCACAAGACTACAACTAGAAATAGCTATACTGGGATACAGCTTAAGAAGTCTGAATGGGTGTCCTGCCTAAACGACTAAAGCTTGGCATCTGATCATGTCTGCAACTAATAAAATAGTACTGCTCATGTACTTAGCAAAGTTATTCGTAAGTGGGGCCATCGGTCCCCACTTTCCCACTGGCCCTTTTCATGCACAAGCTCATTCCATTTTGGGCCTCACAAGCTTCCTAATTTTGACCTACAGTTGAACAGAGTACCGTGGGGACTCCAAATTAGGTTGTTATATCCAAAGTTTTCTTGTACAAATAGAAATAGAAATAATGGGCATTAGCAGATTGGCAATCTGGTGCGTGTGATGATCCTAGGTACAAAAACAAATTCTAGTTTTCAGACCCATTATAACCGAGGAAATCTTTAACATCCTCTTTGTGGCATTTAAAAATAAACAGACAGAATTGTGAAAAGGTAAAATTATTACAGAGCAAGGTTTGTTCGACGAGAGAGGCCTGCCTTCACTTTTATTTAAAGAAGGACGTGGCCACATTTTTAACCAAATTTTCAGGGACACAACCACATTGAAGAATGCAGTTGGGAATTTGCAGTACTTAAACTTTTGATGCCACATTGTGATTTCTTAGTTTTGCACTAACCAAATATTTCTTTGTTATAGCTGATATTGCACTGGTGCTTGCATTTTCATTTTTATTATAAATATGTAGGTAATTGTTGAATTGAAGTGTGGCCAACCAAAGGGGGTATATAGTTTGTTATTACCAATAACATGGCATGTCACTGTTTGTTATTACACGAATAAATGATATCATTACCTCTTTCATCCTAGTCTCCACATCCCCGTGCCTTGGCATCCATGGTGCTAACATGATAAACCAACCATGTGGAACTACTTTGCAAACTGAGGTCTAGATTACAGACTGGAGCTGTACATACTGGATTTTTGGGCACTGCAGTGGCAGTGTTGAGTGCATGCAGTAGAAATGCATTTGTAGTAACAATAGCGTAGTGTTTGGGAGTTACCATCAATCATCTTTGACCTAGCTTAGCATCTGCTTAAAGTTGGCAACGTCACTGTGAGATCATTGACAAGGCGAATATTTTGATAACTTGTTTACAGAGAAAAAAGGCTAACATATATGTCTATTACTCAAACATGTTCTGTTTAACATTGAGTCATTTTAAGGATTTCCGCCCCCTGGTTGGATTTATTGGAATGACAAAAAGGGAAACATTTATGTCTTGAAAAAGACTTTGCTTTTAAGTGAAAACTTGTCTTGGTTGGAAGACAGGAATTCAGGAAACTTCTTGCACGGTACAGTCACCCCATCATGGAAGCCCGTTTGTTTCAAGATTATCAGTACTTAGAGTTATCAGTTAGTATCGCATTGATTATCAATGAGTTAGCTAGATCGTTGCTTAGCTAAGGCTACACAGCAAGTGGCCCTTGAAATTGGTACTTTTGTGCACTTGCATTTTTGGTTACAGCATGAGATCGACAAAGACTGAAGGGACACAGACGAGCACTGATTTATGCCCCTTCTGTCTTAGTCGATCTCGCGCTGTAACCAAAAATGCATCCATATCAATTAGCCCAACTTTCAATACTATTGCAATATAATTTTTGTTCACTTACTTAGTTCAGATTGAATTTTTTGAAAAATAGCAGTTAGGGACTTTGAATTTGAATGCCATTTGTAGCATCTTAGCACTGATAAATTGCTACTCTAGAAAGAATAATATAGCAGCAGTGTTTGACACATTGCAGTTTTCTTGAGAAAGCTGGTTTGCGGGAAGCATCGTTCCTGCTAGAAATAGTTAGGTCGCAAGCTAGAGCTTTCGCTGCGTCACATTGTCGACAAGCACGATGGCTTGAATGTTTGGCACTGGGACAAAAAGAAAGAGAGTATTGTCGTGTGTAAGGGATGCATTACTACTTTTGCTGATATGCGTAAAGTTCTGCACATTTTATCCATAGCATCCTCGTATCGTAGTGGAAGTGGACTACAGAAATGTGTATGTGCAGTGTAGTTCGCTGTTAAAGGGAACACTTCATTGTGTGGCTCTTATCGTGCCAACACTCTAGCTTGTACTGCCGGCTTAAGTTGCATTGTTATGCAGCCTATTGTGTTACTGCACTGGGCATTTCTTATCGCAGCAGCGCAATAACTGCCGGAGGATTCAAGAAGCTGCAGGATTTGGTAGCCACTCCTTGATTGACATTGTCAGCTCTCTGCTATGTCTTATGTTTTAGCCTCTCTGAGAGCAGTGTCAAGTGGCAGTATTAAAAACAGTGTTCGAAGACATTTCTAGGAAGCATTTTATTGATGCCTTCGAAGATGTTGTCCTTAGAGGTGTTCGAGCTGTGAATCCATTGCGGGAGCTTATCTGCTAAGCCATTGGCTGCTAGATTCGAGGACTATGGCTCAATTCCTGATCCTGGTGCCTACACATTTATGGGAAAGAAATATAAAAACACACATGTGCAGTTCTTGGCAATCGAAATGATTTGGCCAGCCTGCATGACTGCTGAGGCTTCTTTGTGCTGCCGGTAGTCACAATAATGAAAGCTAAACCTTTCTTTCTACTAGATACCACAACGAATTATAGAATGCCCTCAGTACTCTACGGTAGCGTTAAAGCGCCAGTAGTAATGCAGGCCAACTATTGCATTTTTATTACTGAGCACTGTACGTAGATTTAGTTGCACATCAAAGAAAGTCAGAGTTAATCTGGAATCTCCACCCCTCTACAATTTGGCGCATAATGATATTGTGGTCTTGGCGCACGAAACCCAAAGGTAAAATTTTTTTCACGAGTTGTCAGCTTGCGAAGCAAACTAGTGTCTGCCTGAGAAAAGTACTGATGTATGGCAATGGGCTTGCAGATATGCGCGGGTGTTCTCGGTGGGCACCCAGGGCATCCGCACCTACAGCCTGCCCACTATGGAGATCACCAACCAGTGGAGCTATGGTGACTTCCTGCGCATCCAACCCTTGGGCTCGGGCCACGAGTTTTCCATCACGTTCCGTAAGGGCCGCAAGGGCGAGAACAGCATGCGATTCCTCTCTGAACACCGGGCTGACATCATCACCCGTGCACTGGTGAGACTGTCTTGAAGACAATGGCCATTGGGTGGTTACTAGTGGGGAGGCTATGATCGATCAAGTGCACATGATTCCTTGTCTGGGCAGTCGCTGTAAGAATCCATGAAAGGCATTTTTTTCAACATACATTCTCCTTTGTTGGTACTTGGTCTATTGGCCCTATTTTATCATTGCTAGAATGTAATAGTTAAAATTATCGGCCCATAAATATAGTCATAGACAGAGGCATTCAAATGCATGTTTTCATGGATGTTTAATTTCTTTATACAGTGCGACCACTTTATAAGAGACACTCACTGGGGAGCAATTTTCGTCCTTTATATGAGGAGTATCTTATTAACAGGGCAGCATGTAAGCATATTCTTATCAACATCTATTTCAATATAGGCACACTGATGTGTCTTATACCGATTTATCTTTTACGTCAGTATCTCATATAAAGGAGTTTGAGTGTAGCTGGGCTATCACAAGTCAGAATAATTCTAGCACCATGTCGCACAGCTGTTCAGTATAATGTGCGGTATCGAATGTTTCAGACAAATAAGTGGAAAGAATACGAAGTGGTATAAGTACAAGTGAGAAAACAAGAATTCTTTTGCAGAATGTTTTATAACACTTTCAAGTTTTTTTTCACTTACAAGGACTCTTTGTTAGTATACATAGGTTTAGGGAGGTATGCTGGCTTTTTATGCATGTCAACTGCACTTCTCTCATTTGGTTGCTTTAAATTCTAATCACTGTCGCACTTCACTTTTTGTTGTACTTGCATTGACAGAATAGTAAGACATAGTGCATGGAAAATGTTTTTGTTTAGTTAATTCGTCAGTGTGCCCTCTTGAATACATATAGGCTGCACATGACCATTATTTGTAAACACAAGGGCGCACATCTCTGCCCATGTTGCTCTTCGCTGTTAAGAAATGGATGAAATCAGCGACAATAAATGTATGGAAATCACAGTATCTGCATCATTTTTCAGGCTTGATTGCAGTTTTGGACATCTGTAGCTATAGCTTTGCCCTGATACCTTTCTTTAAAACACTTCTTGCTGTGTTGTTGACAAGATATTTCTGGAAACACAAATGTCATTGTGCTATGTGAGACATTGAAAATGTGAATGAAGAGCAAGCATCTCATTGGTTGCAATAAAAGCACAAAAAAATATTCTTTACATTTGCTCAGAATTCAGGAAACTCTTTTTGGCATGAAGGTTAGGAGAATGAACCATCTCAAATATCTTTAGTTTCATTCAGAAGTATTTGCTTCCCCCTTTAGAAACAGACGTTTGTGCACTGCAATAATTTTGAGAAAAGCTTGTCGCTGGTGCTGAAACTTCAGGATGCGTGGGTTGTCTTAACTGCTTTGTTGGTTTGCAGGATTTCAAGCAGCTGTTTGCTGAGCCATGCAAGGAGACTGCGGTAAGCACAGTGGAATTTTTCCTCAGTTTGTCTGGGCAAAGTTTCGAGCCACTCCTAGAATCAGTGCTTCTCGCTTCAATCTTACTTTCGGATTGATAGGAGGTGCAGTGATAATACAGTATGTGTTATTTCATTTTTACACAAAGCAAGTGCTGCAAAAATGCCTTGAAATTGTCTTTTTTTCAGTATGGACTAGTCCCCATAACAGCTATCTTGACCACTTTTCGCGATTCCAACTGATCGCTTGTCACCTAGCGGCTGTGCCTGGAAACAGCACTAACAGGGCCAGCCTTAAAAAAAGATATGTTACGACGGTGCAAAAAAAAAAAAAAAAAAAAATCCACGTGTTGATGGAACTGCATTAAGAGGCCTGGGGTGCGGCCTCACCGGTAACCACCGCCGGGAACGCACTCCCTCACCAGAGAAGGATTGGCCACCCTGGTGCAGTATCTGGCCACTACCTCCCACATGCATACGTCAAATAACTCACGGCCCTCAGTCCCCAGCAGCTGCGAAGCAACTGACCACGGCGGCGGTTAGATCTGCAACGCAGCAGAGGGTGCTAAGAATCTCTGGATCCGGACAGGCCGCCATTGGAACCTGAACTTGGCAACATTTAACGCTAGAACCTTATCTAGTGAGGGAAGTCTAGCTGTACTATTCGAGGAGCTAGAGGGTGTTAAATGGGATATAATAGGGCTCAGTGAGGTTAGGAGGACAAATGAGGCCTATACTGTGCTACAGAATGGGCACGTCCTTTGCTATCGGGGCTTGGCAGACAGAAGAGAACTGGGAGTGGGGTTCCTAATTCACAGAAACATAGCTGGCAACATAGAGGAATACTATAGCATTAATGAAAGGGTGGTAGGTATTGTAATTAAACTGAATAAAAGATACAAGATGAAGGTAGTACAGGCTTACGCGCCTACATCCAGCCTTGATGACGCTTCAGTTGAAAGCTTCTATGGAGACGTGGAATCGGCAACGAGTAAGGTAAAAACACAGTATACTATAGTGATGGGCGACTTTAATGCAAAGGTAGGGAAGAAGCAGGCTGGAGACCAGGCAGTAGGAGATTATGGCATCGGCACTAGAAACGCCAGAGGAGAGCTACTAGTAGAATTCCCAGAACGCAATATTTTGCGGATTTTGAATACCTTCTACCGAAAACGAGAAAACCGCAAGTGGACATGGAGGAGCCCTAATGGCAAAAATAAGAACGAAATAGACTTTATAATGACTGCACACCCAGGAATCGTGAAGGATGTGGAAGTGGTTGGCAAGGTACGATGCAGTGACCATAGAATGGTACGGTCTCGAATTCGCCTAGACTTGAAGAAGGAACGACAGAAACTGATACGCAAGAAGCCAATCAATGAGCTAGCACTGAGAGGGAAAGTACAGGAATTCGTAGTGTTGCTGCAGAACAGGTACTCGGCTCTTAGTGAGGAAACCAACCTTAGCGTAGATACAATGAATGA